AGAGTCGTTACAGTTGCGCCCAACCTATGTGTTGGATATTGGATTATGCACCTGTTACCTGGAAAGGATGCCATTAATGGTTTAACATGGACACAGAAGAGTGCAATGCTTGATGAGAACCCAGATGATGGAAGTTCGGGATATTCTGATGAGATGGTCGACACATGGGTTAGTTTTCAATGGATGTGTCCGAGCAAGTCAAGATGATCGAGCTTTCCCAAGACATGGGATGGTATCACGATGCTTGGGTCATGTCTTTGAAATTCGAGATGACGATGAAATGTGACGTTGCTTACGAGAGACCTTTGCTTAGAGTAGAGGTAAGGTCGAGCGGAATGACTTGCCTTAGTGTAGAGGCAAGTTAACTAGAGTCGTAGACGATCGAACATGCATGCATGAACGACGTGTGGCCAAACAAGCTTAGATTTTGCACAAAGCCAAACCTCGTTGAAGATCTCACAAAGCCACAAAGTCGGGCGAAAAATGAATATGGGGCTTGGGTTCTCCTTAAGGCTGGTTGTAAGCATGTAAAGATCACAACACTGCACAATTGAAAAAGTACAACCGTGACACCCATGACGTTGAATGGAATACTATGATATGGGTGATCATCGACAAACTAACCAAGTCAGCACACTTTTTACCTAGTAAACCACCTATATAGTAGTAATTGGGCATAGTTGTGTATGAGAGAGATTGTGAGACTACACGGGTGCCAGTATCAATTGTGTTAGACTAAGACCCGTTTTACATTGGCCTTCTAGCATGGCCTCCAGAAAGCGTCACCGCAATTTCAATATTGTCTTCCACTTACAGAAAAATAATGAAACTAAATGTTCGAACCAAATCTAGGAAGACATGCTACATGGCTGTTGTTGGATTTTGCAAGCAATTGAAGTTCTAAGTTGCACCTCATAGAGCTTGATTACAACAATAGCTTCCAAGTAGATATTATAATGGCATCGTTTGAAGTCTTATACGAGAAGTAGTACAAGTTCTCGATGTGATGTGACGAGGTAAGTGAACGTGCATTATTGGGATCATAATTAGTCTAAGCCACCAATGAGTCCATGCAAAAGCTCAATGTAAGAATATGCATGATTCAGAGTAGACAGAAGAGTTACACGAATGTGAAATTCAGACTAAATAATCTCAGGGGCTTTCACTTCGACATGTCTTTGTTCATGATCGCTTAGAGCCCCTCTTCGATCAATAGGTACTCCCAACGCGTCGACCACATGTCCGAGAATAGCCTTTCCCGTAGGAACATCCACAAACGATCTAGTGCTCTTGACAAGATCTCCTTCTTTAAAAGAAAAAGAAAAAGAAAAAGGAGCATGTTCCTTGTGAATCAACTCCTTCCCCTTCTCACAGCATTGCATGAATACATTAATGTTGTTCCACAATAATCCACATGCCCCCATATGCCTTCTTCAATGCCAACTCATCAACAAATCAATTATCTCTCTATCTTTACCTTTTTCTTTTTCTTTTTTTCCTTTTTTATTCTATTTTACCAAACATAATTAAAAAAAATGTTTTGTTAATAATAAAAATGATATTAAATAGTGTGAAAAGACAAAATTGCCCTCTAATAAACCAATGTGGATGCACATTGCCATGGGGAATGAAGAGTAATTGTGGATAAATAGACATTGTCATCAATTTTGTAAAAATAGACCTACAAATTAAGACGGTTAATTGTTTACGACCTATCTATCAGTGAAACTAAAATTTGAGAAATATTTAGAAGATGTTTGTTTTTGTTAGTAGGAGTGTCTAGAAAACTCGATAACCTGAAAAATTCGATCAATCTAACCTAATTCATACTGTTTCTTTGAGTTAGGAAATTGACAGCATCAAAGTACATCTACTCAAACGAAAAATGAGGACGCACTGATTTCATTAAATTCTTTTTATTCTTTTAGATTTTATTTAGGGTTTAGGGTAGGATGTACCATTCAAAATAGGTACACCCTTATTAGGATTCCACAAACCCTATAAAATAATTCTTAAAGTAGTAGCATTATGAAAAATGGACAAACATGATCCATTCATCACTGATTATTTGACAACTTAACATACCAATTTTATTTAATAATACATGTCTTACTCACTGGCTTACTTATGCCCGTATTAATTGATATACTAAGCTTAAACGTGACGTTTTGCTTCACATTTGATTAATTAAGATAGAAAAAATGGGTCGTTTATTAAACTAATGCTAATATCTCGTCATTCTTGAAAATATAATAATTGAGGGTTGAATTTGAAGAAGGGAAAGAGGAATTTGTAGTTGATAGATGTGTTGTGTAAGTGTGTTTTGTGGGCTTCAAATGACATACTTTTAGGTATTCATCTTGAATGAGAAGTGATAGATCACCAACTAAAGTGCCTAAATATTAATCATTTTTTGTTCCTTTCTTTCTTCATTCATTTTAAGCTGAAATGACAAATAATAAATAAATAATAATTCACATGGCATGCTATTTTTCTTATTAAATATTAGATATTATTATTATTTATTTTTCTTTTTAAAAATATTTCGAATTGAACTCGGGTAGAATTCAAACTTAACTATAACTTCGAACGATATAATAACATAATAACTTCAAACGATATCATAACATAATAACTTGATATCATATTTTTAAGTTATAAGGTCGATTATAAAATACATATCCTTATACAGAAGGGGTTAGGGCTCTAACTTGGGGCACCATAGATGGATGGAGGCGTCCACACCATTCGGTCATTAGACGTTTTTGTAATATAAAGTATAAAAAAAATTTGAGAGGTGCCTGAACTATAACATCTCATGCCAAGGTTTTGCATCAAAATTTGGAATCTGAATTCAACACTTGGCGGCTTCAATATTCTCCTGCAACATAGTCATATTACTTACTTCTCGCTTCGCTTCTGATAATGAAAATCCTCCCCACAAATCAACACAAGTTCTTTGATGCTTTGTGGGAAAATTTTCGAGAGCTCACACAACATAGAATTGGTCGAAACAAAACACGTTGAATTTTGAAGTTATTATGATTGAGCCACTAAACACATGCTATTTTTCTTTTAAGCTTTTATTAGTCATCCTATCCTAAAGAACTCTTGTTTCGATGTGATAACGGTTCATTCATATATTCTTTCTATACTCGAGTGCCTCGTTGACCTTACACATTTCGTGAGCCTAAATTTACTTCAATTCAATGAAAGGCGATAGATTAGTAGCTAACCCACCTAATAATTGATCACATGTGACATAAACAATGGTCTAGGTAGAGGCATGCATGAGTAACCTACTTGCATTCATCTCTCCTCTAAAAGGGGTATTGTAAGTTGAAAAATGAGAAAGAGAAACAAACCCATTAAATGAATTGAAAATAAGAAATAATTAATGGTTAAGAAAATTAAAACCAAAGAAATTTAAAAAAAGAAAATGGAAAAAGAGAGTGTTGGGGGAAGTGTGGGTCAAGGAATGGTTGGATTGAAACTAAAGAAATGTTCTAAGTTGGTGTGCCTTCAATCAAGGAAAATGGGTCAAATATCTCGAGTCTATTTCAGAAACTAGAAATTAAGTAGTTAGTCAAATCTCACCGCTAGCAAATATTGTCCTTTTTGGACTTTTCTTTCAAGGGGTTTCAGGCTTTTCCTCAAAGTTTTTAAAACGCGTCTGCTAGGGACTACTCTTATAGATCGTGTTTCTTCTCTCCAACCGATTTGAGATCTAAGTTACTACTTATACTAATAAAGTGTATTTTTTTTTTTAACGACTCGATCATAGAAACTCCAAAATTGAGCCTTAAATTTTTTTAATAAACATATGAGTGAGGAAAAGGTATGTTAAAGTACCTGTGATAGTCTCACTCTAAGAAACGAGAAGTAAATAATGTGACCATATTACAAGGAAACGTTGGTCTGTGTACGATATTAAACGTCAAATGTATACATTATTTTAATGTCGAAATGTGTAGTGGATGGAAGTTTAATTTGGTTAAATAATGATATTCATACAATATTGAATAAGCACCATCCATACAATATTGAACCCACAAAAAAGAGTTCAAATAAATAAAAAATTTATGAAACCGGTTCATAATTCTCCTAAAACTAGATTGAGTTGAACTGGTTTGATGATGAAAAGTCTCGTGAATTTTGGAAATGATTATGGGTTTATAAACAAAGAATACTATCTCCATTGTTATGAGACATTTTAGGAAGCCCAAAGCAAAGTCATGAGAGCGTATGTTCAAGTGGACAATATCATACCATTGTAGAGAGTCGTGTTCGTCTAATAAAACTTAATGGTTGAAAATTGAAGGTGTCACCTCCATTCCCCTCATCTTTCCGCTCCAACCTCTCTCCCTCGATACCAACGTTCCTGATCACCATCTCCCTACTCTCCCTCCTAATTTATTCTCAAGCTTGCTCGTGATTGTTTGAAAATGTGAGCCCAAATTCTCGTATTTCTTGCATGTATTTATTTTGAAAGATTAAGAAAATCTCAAAAACAACATTCAAATTAGGTCATTATCAATGGGTTTACACTACTTGAACAAGATTTTGAACAAGATTTGGTACGTATACACATCTCTTCATCTTTTACATATCAATTTGCTAAGGTCAACCAATTCAGCCGGTTCATCCAAATCTTAATTAATTAATTATTTCATATACCAAATTATTTTAATAATTTTTTTTATTGTTTTATCCATTAATATTTTTATCTTATATGCATTGTCTTTATCTATAATTTAAATACAAAATTACTTTTCTTATAAAAAATTTAAATCATTCATCTTTAATCTCGTCTATAATAAAATTTTAAACTTTTTCTAACTTTTTAATTTTTAAGAAATAAATTTGTAATTAAATAAAAATATATTTAATTTTATTATTATTATTATTATTATTTTTAAAATGTGGCTGATGAGAGAGAAATTGATATCAGGAATTCTGTCTCTCTCCGTTGTATTTATATAAATCAATCTCTCCCCCATTTACTTTCCCTTGACGTTCATTATCCCACTCAACCACCACTCACGGGGGCTCCGCGCCGGGAACCACCACACACGGCGGCGGCGGCGGCGGCGGCACAAATTCTTAGAAAACCTAAGTGAGAGAATATTAATATTTGTAGTATAAATCTCGTCTTTTTTTCTCTCTCTCTCTCTCTCATTGAAGAGTCCGGCTTGTGCGTTTCATGCTTCTTCTGCGGTAGTCTTTAATGTTCTTGACTCCCTCTCTCTCCTTCACTTTCTCTCTCTAGAAACCTCAGCTGTATATATCTTTTTTTTCATTTACGTTTCACTTTTGGTTCCATAAACCGATCTCAAACTCAAGTTCTCTCATTGTCATTTCATTGATTCATATCAATGGCTGTTCAAGCTCAATACCCTTCCAATGTCCTCTTCCTCAACAGGTTCCTCTGTTTTTCTCTGTTTTCTTTCTCAATCCAATTTTTTGGTTTTTTCTTTTTGTTTGTTTGTTGTTGTTGTTGTTGTTGTTGTTGTTCATCTTTCCTCTTGAATTTGCAGAAACATTCAAGATTCTGAACATGATTATTCATTACAACCTCAACCTGGTGGTGGAGGAGGAGGAGGAGGAGATGTTTTTCAACAGTCTCATCATCTGTTCAACAATGGAGGTTAGATTCATTTTCATTTTGGTTTCTGCTTTTTTTGGATCTACCCATTGAAATTGAAGAGGTTTTGATGATGGGTTTGGGTTTGAATTTGAAAATCAGGTGGGAATCATTTCAACAATTTGAGGAAAAGAGGAAGAGATGTCTCTGTTTCTCTCTCTGTTTCACCTCCCTTAATCAATCCTCTCTGTTTTCACCCTCAGATTATTGACCTTTCTCAGCTTCATAACCACTACCACCCTTCCAATGTGGTCTCCACTGGCCTCCGGTTGTCCTCCGACGACCAACAGCCGAATCTCCACTACCATCCTCCGCCGCCGGCGCGGAATGATACCAATCTCGTTTCTTTCTCTTCCTCTGTTTTCTTGTCCGATGATTTTTCCTCTCAAACCAGACAGCAACGTGATGAAATTGATCGATTCCTTCAAACTCAGGTACTGATTTGAAAAACTCAGATGGGAATTTGAAAGAAAAAGAAAAAATGTTATGAATTTTGATGGTGAGTTTTTTTGGGTTTTGATTAGGAGGAAGAGCTGCGGCGAGCGTTGGCGGAGAAACGGCAACGGCACTACAGGGAACTGCTGGGGGCGGCGGAGGAGACAGTGGCGAGGAGGTTATTGGAGAAGGAAATGGAGGTGGAGAAGGCGACGCGCCGCCATGCGGAGTTGGAAGCACGCGCTGCCAGGCTGTGTGTGGAGGCACAGGCGTGGCAGGCCAAGGCAAAGGCAGAGGAGGCGGCGGCGGCTGCGCTACAGGCACAGCTGCAGCAGGCGATAACGAGGGGCGCTGGCATTAGCAGCGGTGGAGAAGGCGGAGGCGATTGTACGGCGGCGGCGGAGGATGCCGGATCGTGTTATGTTGACCCAGAACGAGTCGGCACGGAGTTTGGACCGAGTTGTAAAGTGTGTTGGAAGCGAGTTGCGTCGGTGGTTTTGTTGCCGTGTCGGCATTTGTGCGTTTGTACGGATTGCGATCAAGTGGTTCGCACGTGCCCACTTTGTCCAGCCGTGAGGAATTCCAGTGTTGAAGTTTACCTTTCGTGAGGCCCAATAAGGCCCAATGGGCTGAACCTGAGTGCCTTAGGCCCAATGGTAAAACCAAAAAAAATTATATATTAAAAAAGAAAAACGTTAAANAAAAATTAAAAAAAAAAACAGAACAATACATTTTGTTTCTCTCTTATGTTTTCCGTTCCTTTCCTCTCTCTCTCTCTCTCTCTTTTTGTGAAATTAAATTAAAATATAAATTCTTTTATTTTAAAAAATAATCTGTTGTCCCGTTTATCTCTAATGTTGTGGTTTTTTTTTTTTTAAATAATTAACACTGATTTTATTTTTTAATATTTTAAATCAATAATGTGTCGAGAGATAAATATATGAAGCACTGTCACAGTTGTACGTTTGATTGTGCGGCGTTTGTTCTAATCCAACGACGAGCATGACATGATACAGTGTGGTGCTTGTTCTAATCCAATGACGAGCATGATAGATATTTAAAATTTATTAATTTAATTTTAGTTTAATTTTCCTTCGTTAATGACTATATTACTAATAACGTATTTAAATTTTAGAATTTTGAATTTATATAACAATTAATTTTAATAACATTTTTTAAGATTTAAAAAAAAATTGTATAAATTTTTAATGGTAAATAATTAGTATAATAATAATTTAAAGAATTAATTATGCATGTCAAAACATTATACAATTATTGATAAATTATTAATGAATGAATAAAAAAGAATTTATATAACATTAGATGGTTATGGTAAGCAGATTAATTGGATGTGTATTTACTATTTTGTACACGGTCCACACATGCGAGTATGGACCACCAATCGGTTTGCACACCTTTTCGGCTCGTTTCTTGTTGGGCTAGCATTCTCTAGGAGTTGTTGATGTAGGACACTCGTTAGGCATAGCGACCATTGCAGCATTATAATAAATATAATGATCGTTTCCTACCTTGTAGTGTACGCATGAACACACAATGATGCATGAGGTCCTAACGTTTTGCCTTTCATTATCATGTATAACAACCCTTCTAGCGTTTTCATTTATATCATATCATTTTATCATAACTTTCCATGTGTATATTGGAGTTGTGTGTTATGTCAATTCATCATATTGCATGTCATTCATATCATATATCATTCATGTAGAGCATATGTCATATCATAAACATGTCGTATCTTCTAACGTGACGTATCATTCCATGCACATATCATATCATTCATTGTATTACAAGATGTGTCATATCATCGATTATACTACATTACAATATACATATAATATTCACATATCATATCACAAGCACGTTGTCAAGTATTTCATATCTTAACATATCATTTCATCACATATAGCGTAACATTCATATATCATATCGCACACATATCATTTCATAATCGTTCACATATACGAGCATATGACACGTGCAAAGCCACGGACAAGTGTCATCATACAACATACAAAGGCCACTTACTTGGCTGGCCTTAGTCGATGTTTCCCTAAATTTGAGTATGTTTGCTTTCCATCCCTCAAAATTGCTCCAAGTGTCGCCGGTTGTCGTTTCCTATTAGACCGTCCATCTTGTTTCGTTTGTAACTCAAATTAACTTAAATCAAGAAATTGGACTTTAACCTAGTTGAGGGATTGACTTCTGAAACGCAGAGTCGAGCCAAGCCAACTAAGTCACGCAAGCCGAATGAGATTTTGGTTGCAGGCTCGACATGTGGCACAATGAGGTGCTGACATGTGTGTAGAACGAAGTCGGGTCGAGGCGTGGGTCATTGGGTCGTGGGTTGCGAATCGATGTTGGGCTTACGGTTATTTGGGTTGGGTCACCGCAAGTGTTGGACCTCGGGTCTATAGGTGTTTGGCTGCAGGTATTTAGACTCGGACGCATATCTTGAGTCGAGGCGTTTTGATGGGCCTCAGGTAGTGTTAGATAAAAGCTATGGTTTTCTTTATTTAGGTCATTCACATTTTCATTAGAATTTGTTCGTTGAATCTTATTTTTTTAGGCCATTTTGAATTGACACGCCCTTAAAATTAAAATGGAATAGCATAGTTTTAGCTTACACGCCATCTATAGGCCCTCATTTGCAACTGTTTTTCAGCCACAACAAATTCCAAATTTTTCATTATGTTCGTTGTTATTTTCTTGCGGTTTCTGTTTTTTATTTTTCTTCTCCGTGTAACGATTTTCTCTCACCAGTAGCGATTTGCTCAGTCAAAAGATATCAGGTAGCGAGTTTGGGTTTTCTAGCTGGTTGGCTAATGGGTTGCGGTGGATATCCAACCCGGATCTAGATTCATCGGATCTCTTCGTTGCTTACTCATTGTTGTCGCTACTGGATGAAAATGGTTCACTCATCAATTGGATGTTCAAAATGTTTTTCTTCATGGTAATCTATACGAGGAATTCTACATGTCTTTACCACCAAGTCTTCGCCGATAGGGGAACAATACAATATGTTGGCTATATATGTCTCTTTATGGACTAAAAGAAACTTATCACAATTGGTTCTTCATATTCTCTACCACTATACAAAATACACGCTACACTCAGTCAAAGTCGATTACTCTTTATTTACTAAAAGTAGAGGTACTTCTTTCAATGCCCGTTATTATATATGTTGATGATATTCTATTGACAGTCAATAATCTCAAAAAGACATTTAATTTTCTCAAAATAGAAAAGTAATTTTTATGTCTTAGAGGAAGTATGTCGTAGACATTTTTCAAAACACAACGTTACAAAAAAAAAAAATAAAAAAAATAATTTCTTTAATAGAAGTAGAGAAGGAGAATATATACTATTATGGGCAGATTAATATATTTAACTATTATTAGGCCCGATGTAGTGTATTCAATTTGTACGCTAAGTCAATTTATGCATGAACAAAGAAAATCATGTCGGGAGGCAGCTATTCGAGTTTACTCTTTATCAAAGACTTCTACTACTATCTAAAAACAACTTGAGATTACAAGCATATTGTTGAACTACCAGACAGTCTATTTATGGGTTATATATCTTCATGTGAAATTCAGTTACTTCTAGGAAGTCTTTAAATAGACCAATGTGTCCATATCTTCGGCAAAAGCCGAATATTGAACTTTGGAAAATACGTGTTTAGATTAACTTGACTCAGATACATTCTTCAAGATTTGAATGTTTTGTTGTCCGAAACAACATTGTTGTATTGTGATAATCAAGCAGCATTGCATATAGCAACCAATCCAGTTTTTCATGAACGTACGAAGTACATTAAACTAGATTGTCATATAGTTCGAAAAAAATGATAAACTAGAACCATCAAACCATGTTATGTTTCGACTAAAATGTAGTTGACAAAGCTTTGAGAATATTTGTGAAATATTGTGTTATATAGTTGTAAGTTATGAAATATTAATGAAGAATTCACTTTTCAATCCGGGTAACAAGATGAATGAAGTATCAGTCGAGTGAAAGAATAATGAGTGTTTCAACTCCATTATTTCTGATATACACGGTTTTTTCTTGCGCGTAGTTCATAAAGTTTAGACTCTTTACACAATTTTCCAAACGTATGTTCCACGCCATGGATGCTTGCCGTAAATTGTAGAGGGTCTTTGATAACATGTACACTTTATGCTTTTCGATTTTGATGACGAAGCCTTCAGGTTGGACAACGTACTCGCCTTCTAGGAATGTTGATTTGATATCCAAATGATGAACCTCTCACCCTCACCCGTATTGAGCTGCAAGGATAAGAATGAACCTTATACGGAAAAAAATAATAATTATTATATATATTAAAAGCATAATGTAGATGCCTTGAAGCTTCCACCAAAATTAATCATAAAATAAAGCAAAATTATGATATCTTTTAATTAATTAAATTAGTATAAGGACAAAAGAGGGATATGTTTAGGTTCATTGCTTTTGCTTCATGGTGTCTCCTTGATTAACTACAAAACAAACCCATTTTTTTATTATTATTATTATTATTTAAATAATATTTCAAATTAAATATTAAAAAGCAACCAATAATAAGGCTACTTCTTTTAATGGGGAATTTCTTCCCTTTTTAATTCTTTTTTGGGGCTTTGTTTATTTTTTATTTTTTATTTAGAATAAAATAATTTACCAATTAGGTCAATTTTATTTTTTTAAAAAATGATTCTTTTTTTTTATAAGAAAAAAATAAATAAAACTGTAATTTTGACACTACAGAAATGCTTCATTATAAAGGACATGTTACTCCATGGGAAACACACGTGGGAAGCACGTGCTGTATCACGTGGAGCTCAAATAATTATATAATTGTGCATATTAATGTTTATAGAATAAGATTATTTCGTAATTAATTTTATGTATTAAGTTATTTTTATTAAAATATACTCAATAATTTAATATTATTTAATGGCAATATTTTAATAGATGTGATAGAGGATTTTTATTCCAAACTAATATGGAATTTAATAATTTCAATATTTAGGCTCAAATTATTACATTAAATTAATATCTTAATATCAAATTAAATTATTTCTATTTATTTAATGAAATAAGTTATTGTATTGTCATATTAAATAATATAATGTTTTTTAGACGCCCTTCTCCAGTCTTATTGAGAGAAGTAGCGTCTTCTCCCTACCGTAGTTTAATTGCATCGGAAGAAGGAGATCTTTTTTGACGTCCTCAACTGTGCCGTCTGGTGAAGGTATCTCTCTCTCAACGTATGACCATATCGTCAATGGAGATCAATTTTCTTATAGTAAACAACTTATGTTTATCTCTTTGGTTCAGGCAAGTTGACTCAACTATCGAAAATAACCTTGACGTGCTTCAAGCCTGGCACAAATACGTGTTCGTGATTCATTAAATAAAAGTGGTTACGTTAAATATTAGTTGATACCTTCGGTAATCCACTATAGAAATATTGGAGTTGTTAGCCCACAAGCATCATACCATACTCCAAAGTCTTTGGACTTTTTCGTAAATGTTCCCATTATAGTTAATGCCTTCTCATTGCTATCGTCTTCCTTCTAGTCGCTATCATTATCATATCATTACAACTATTGTAGCTACCACAATTATATAAATAAATGATAGCACATGATCCG